TACTCTACTCATCATTGTATTACTTGATCGGCTAGTGCACTTGCTAGTGTAAGCTAAGCACATCAGTGACCCGGTTCGGGCTGCATTGGTTTTGGTCGCCCTTCTGGGTGAGATCGGACAAACGGGTGAATGTCGGATCAGACATTTGGATTGGGTCCGGTAATCGGGATGAGTCGGGCATTCGGATCAAATCTGATTGTTGGGTTGGTTGATAGCTTATCTTTTGCGGGGAGAAAACACAACTTCCGAGGATTTCACCAGGATTTGACTCTATAGGTGGTCCTTCAGAGATATCTCAGTCTTGAAAGGGTGCCCCCTTCTTTTTGCGCCTGTCTCCATATTCATCAGGCCTAAACCACTCAAAAGAGTGGAATAAATATAAACTCCCGAATCTGACTTATCTGACACCTTCTAACTTAGAAAATCCCGATGATTAAACTTCCCTTTCTTTCGAGCCATACTATTACTTGACTCGCCCCTTTTCCGCTTCAAGTTAGATGACTCGCCTTTGTCTTCCTCGCCAGCCTGTGATTTCTGTAGCTTTGCTTTGTCTCTTGCTAAGTGCCTAACTGACTGTGGTTCCCCTTGGATTAGCTTCTGCTTCTTATCTATGCTATTTTCCTCTTCTGAATCTTCATCCGAACTGCAATCATGACGCACCAAAGCCAACTGCTTGCATGGAGAGAAACCCTTCTTCAGCTCCGGATAGTTGAAGGGTTTCTCCGTCTTGAGATCTGCCTTGAGCTAGTCCCCTGGAGAGTTGAGGCTCCTTGTATCCAATTCCTTTTGGATCTGATCCGCTAAGGTCTCAGGTAGGATCTGCCGACATTTCCGCCAAGAGTGTCCAACAAGGCCACAATAAGAACAAAGTTTTGTCAAATCTTCATAAACAAAACGGACCCAGATCGGTTATGTTCCATTGTTTAAGACCAAACCCCTGAAAAGGGTTTTCCTAAGGTCGAGCTCCACCCGAATGCGAACCATCTTTCCTCTTGTCGAAGTGCCATTTTTTATTTCTTCGTTTTCTGGTAACACTCTCCCTGCTACCAACGCTAAAAGCTTGCAGTTATGGTCGGAGATGAAATGGCGAGGGATGTCATGTAGTTGGACCCAAACTTTTTGGTGCCAAATCTTTGATTTCTCGCCCAGCAGAGAGTCTTGCCAGGGCTCAACCATCATCCAACTAGATCTGATAAACTAGGGGCCACTGTCTAGAACTCTCTGCATGTCCTTTAAATCTTCAAAGACAAACTCCCATCCCCCACTGTCATCGTGCCCCACTTTTACAGGTCGTCTAGGGGTCCAGGCGTGCGTGGCGAACATTCGCATGTTGTCGATGGAAGTTTGTATTCAAGGGAATATTCGGCCTCGAAGGGTTTTGGCTATGATCTCTTCAGCTTCTGCCACTGGCTCCACTGAACTTTCAATGAATGAACCTGCTACTCTTGCATGTTTGGCAAGGTCCTCCCCAAGCTTTGAGATCTGCTTCACTATCGAGCTATTTTGGGCATGGTCTTCTTCTTCCTTCTCCATCTTTTTCGAAGGGAAGAGAGTGTGAGTGGGTTTGATGGACAAGTTGGAAGCTAGGTCGTCAAAAGGGGGGCAAATTACCTACTCCGAGCAGCAGAGCAGCTCGACATTAAATGTTCACCATTAAGGGGAAGGTTTCAAAAGGTTTCAAGCCGGGGCCTATGAATTCTGACCCTGGGCTGAACGGTCATTCTCCCATTTTTCTGTGGGCTTCGAAAAAGAACTCTCCCTCACCTAGTCTGACGGTGTATACATGAAATCGCATTCTCTTTTTCCCTATTTGCTTTCTATAATTTGTAAAGGGGATTGTGAGCTCCTTAATGGCTGAAGTCAAAGAAGGGTTAATTACTATATCCTTAAATGTTCTTATAATTTAGTCCAATAAAAGAAACGGAGAAGTACGGAAACACCCAATGCAGAATTCTGAATTCCAACCCCCTACTACTAGCCCTCTCCCCCTCCCTATAAACCACATCCTGTCCGTGAATTTGGCATCAATTCACAGTCAGGATGCAGGTTCCCCCTGTACTATGGGGCTATAAAATTCTGATCTGGGCTGAATGGTCATTCTCCCTAAAAGAAAAGCTAATAATACTTTGTTTTAGCTATTGGCTAATTCATTGAAAAGAATCTTTCAATAGAGCAAGTACAAAGATTTCTGGGGATATAGACCAAGTGCAAGTTCTGGTCAAAGAATAAGCCTTTTTTTTTCTTGCAATTACATGAGCTCGCATGAACAACCTTGTGTGCATCCCCTTCAATAAGCAATTCATCGAAACCTAACTCTTAAGCAAATTTGATACCTTCTAGAAAAGCATGAGCCTCAAATCAACTAAATCGAAGGAGACAAGTTCCCCTTCGGGGACCCAATCCTCAAATTTTATAAATTAAAATTATTTTAAAAATAACATATTTATTTAAAATAAGAGAAAATTTTAAATATAAAAAAAAATATTTGAAATATATTTTGATACAAATAATATCATCAATAATATAAATAATATTATATATATAATATATATAATAAATATAATTGGGGTTGGGGCCAGAAGAGGGATTCACTCCCTAACCCCATCCTCGTCCCTAGTCGAATATCATATGATTCATATCACTATCAATTAGACCTGTTCATGGGCCGGGTCGGGCCGGGCTCAGGCCGGGCTTTCACTTGTCACTAATGAAAATATACTAGGCCCGAGCCCGAGCCCGAGCCCGGCCCGACCAACGGGCCTATAACTTGGGCCCGAGCCCG